GACATAACAATGCACATCGATCAAGCAGTGATTGTTTTTTGATAGTTCGGTTTAGATACATGATCATTTCCTTTAATCCCCCGCATGGCAGGACTTACACTAGAAGAGGAAGGGACAACACTTTCAGTCAGAGCCCTACTACTTCACACAGTTCTGTCAGCTTAACAGTAAATATGCTCAAGACCTAGCAGAAGAATGACCTCATCAGCTTACTGCTGCTCTTTCTATTGTCCAAACAGCAGACTAGGATTGATCCTGGACCAAGTTGTGTTGCTTAACCACAACCTAGTCTGCAAGATCATTGACCTGGCTGTGCTCTTTGGCAGGGGTAGCTGGATCACAAAAACTGGTTGAACACCAATACAAATCTTATACAATTTACATACATGTAAAAATCTACTTTTGTATTTAGCGATGTGTCCCTGAATTCAGACTAAAATTATCTTTGCTGTTTTTGCAGGGTTTGAGGAAACCAACATTAGAGGAGGTAGAGCAAGCCCGAGATGCCATCTTGACACCCTCACTGTTCGGGAGTTCCTTGGAGGAGATTATGGAGAGACAGAAGTCGGTGTATCCTGAACGCCGTCTGCCCTGGGTACAGACACAGCTCTCGCAGCAAGTGCTGACTCTGGGTGGGGAGAGGACGGAAGGAATATTTAGGTGGGTGTTTTAATTTTCGGTGTTTTTTTCAGTGCAGTGTTGTTTAACCTCTGAGTATTCCCAAGTGTAGCTCGGGGTAAAGTTTCAGTACCACAAAGCAGTAACCCCGAGCTACACTCGGGCTTACCATAAAACGCTGTTCCGGGATCTGTTCTTCACTTACCTTGTCCTGCTCTCCCGTGATGTCCCTCATACAGTGTCCCCGGCAATGTCCTCTCCGGCCGATGCCGGCATCTGTCATCTGTGTTCCGCTCCCTGCGACGTCAGGACGTACGGGGGACGGAACTGGTGGGAAATTTAAAAATGTGAAAAAGTGACATTCACTAAATACACTAAAATCACATAGTAAAACATTACTGTATCAAACCATTTCACATACATTTTGTCCCGAGTGCTTTGTCATGTGCCCTGCCTGCATTTTTACTGTTCTTTCTACCTGGAAACTGAGAAACGTCCATGGCGTCCAAAAAGCGTCCCTTTAGGTCAAAAGCGGTTTTAGACCGCTAGAGAACAGCAATAGTAAATCAGAACCACTTGCAGAATTGAGTGATAATGATTCGTGGGGGAAATTCGTCATCAGACACTGAAAACGATTTTGTGCGACTGAGCTCAGTGATGTGCGAACTTGGCGCTATATTTCAAATTTCAGTGTTTTTGTTTGATTACATTATTGAATTAAATTTATTATTATTATATTAATTTTTATGATTATTGATTAAATTATAATTTATGATTTTCGGGTTTCAAATTTTAACATACCCGGGATGTTTACTAGACTTGTTCGGACAGATTTCAGTGAGTTATTCCTAAAAATTACAGGCCTACAATAAAAAAATGACATATTTCCATGCAAAAAAATGTACCGCTTTGAGCACAGAAATACTGACATAATCAGACCGCTAGGGAGGCCACAGAAATATTCCAGGCATGGAATTTTTTACAGTTACATTGGTCCAGCTTGAGCTATACATATTGTGAAGTGAAGCAAAAAGAGCGCACCAACCTTGCGCATTACCTCAGTAATTCTGTGATTTTATTAAATAAAATATATATAATCACAAACAAGGATGTAAACAAGCATTACAGATCCTCAAAGGAACTAAGGAGTGTAGAGCCAGTGTGAGTCACGTCACGAGGGTAGACTCTCAAAGTGAGGCTGACCCCCCAGAGTTCATTGTCAACGTACCACAAAATGCTGAGGACAGTAATGATAGATTGTGATTTACTTATTCTGTGTTTTTATTTTTCAGAGTACCTGGAGATATTGATGAGGTGAATGCGCTGAAATTGCAGGTGGAACAGTGGAGGATACCAGACTGTCTCTCGGACCCCACCATTCCCGGTACGTATAAGTGATAACCAGGGGTGGACTGACCATTTGGAAACTCGGGCACTGCCAGAGGGCCCGGGGTCAGTAGGGGGCCCCATGAGATGCCCCTGGTACCTTTTTCATAGGCTTTTTTGAGTTTGGGCAAGGACACGGGCCCCATAATCCCCTATTGCCCGGGGGCCCCCATGAGTTGTCAGTCCTCCCCTGGTGATAACCATGTAATTTCCAGAGTAAACGTGAACATCATAGAGAGAATACAAAAGACACGTGCAGAAATGAGTATAAGCCATGTTTGTAGTGTATACATATATACAAGACTGCATGCCATGAAAGTCATTTGGATGGAAGGTCTAACCCTTTGCTGTTCTGTAGCAGAGCCACTTTATTAGGTCCACCTGTACAATTGCTTGGTAACACAAATTGCTAATCAGCCCAATCACATGGCAGCAACTCAATGCATTTAAACATCTAGACGTGGCGAAGATGACTTGCTGAAATTCAAAACTGAGCATCAGAATTGGGAAGAAAGGGGATTTAAGTGACTTTGAATGTTGCATGGTTGTTGGTGCCAGACAGGCTGGTCTGAGTATTTCAAAAACTGCTGATCTACTGGGGTTTTTACGCTCAACCATCTCTAGGGTCTAGAGAGAAATGGTCCAAAAAAGAGAAAATAATCCAGTGAGCCGCAGTTGTGTGAAAGAAAATGCTTTGAGGTCAGAGGTGAATGGGCAGACTGGTTCAAAATGATAGGCAACAGTAGGGTCAGAATTTGGTGTAAACAACATGGATCCTTCCTGCCATGTATCAGTGGTTCAGGCTGGTGGTGGTGGTGTAATGGTGTGGGGGAGATTTTCTTGGTACTAGCAAGGTGTATCTAAAAACAAACGTGGTGTGTGTGTGTGTGTGTGTGTGTGTGTATATATATATATATATATATATATATATATATATATATATATATATATATATATATATATATATATATATATATATATATATATATTATACACACCTTTTATAGTTTAAAGTCTAATTTTTTTTTTTGCCCTTTTCACACTAGCAGTCCAATTTGGGTCCACCTGTCTGCTCACAGATGGACCTGATCAGACCCTACATTCTCCTCTGTGGAGTTGTGGATGTAGCTACATCCATTCTGATTCTTCTAAAAAAACAAATGGAAGGGGGTCTGTTCCTCTCGGTCTGGGAGGATTGTAAGGCAGTTGGGTGGAAATGGACAGCCGTTTACATCCAATCACCTATAGAGGAGATCAGGCTGTGTCCATGTTCCTTCTGCATAAGCAGAGTGGACACGGACCTGTCATCTGCCCGGTCAGCTCATTGGGGATCAGCGGATAGATCCCCCTCTGAGCAAGCGGAGCCTTACTGCTGCTGCTTTGTGTTGATGGCACAATATACTGTTTATGGTTTTTATTACTTTCAGTGATGCAGATGCATTCCCTTTCTGATTATTTAATGCTCCACGCTATCTAAATTGATGTCCTGTAGGCACTTTGCTCTTGTTGCTTTCTATTTATGTACATAATGAATTGATTTTCCTGTAGAAGATGCAGCTCTATAAGCCTGCATGCGTTCTATATGTGCATAGCCATCTCATCGCTTGCCGTTCCAATTTCTGCATCTCTTAGCAGAAGGAATGTACAGCTGATTGGATGGTAATAGGGGCCAGGTTGGAGAAAGTTGGCTCTTCTTTGATGATACACGTGTTGAAGCTAGCTGTTATCAAGTACAGTCTTTTGGGAAACCTAGGCTGGTGATGACAAGTAGCAATGCTGGGCATGCATCAGGACATGTGAACGTGCCGTACCTTAGGAGTCTGTGCCATAATGGTCAGTGAGTGTGCCTTGTACTGCCATGGTTACAGTCATCCATACAGAAATCCCATATCGAAGGAAAATATATTTGAAATATATTTTATAAATATTAATCCCAAATATATTGCCATATATTTGAAATGCTACAATTTTGGCTATATTCAATATATTTAAAAATGTATTTTATATATATATATATATATATATATATATATATATATATATATATATATATATATATATATATACATACACACTGCATGTAAATGCGGTATTATATATGAAAACACACACTATACATGTCAAATATACTGTGTGCTTTTTAAAAATACAAATTCTACATTTCTGGAGTGCATTTACAAATATATATAAAAATGTTAAAATGACTTTTTTATATATTAAAAAAAACTGAAGAAATTTATTTTGTTTAAATAAATATATATTTTTAAAATATATTCATTTTTTTTGTAACATATAAAAAAAAGTCATTTTAACATATATTTTTACATATTTGTAAATGCATTCCAAAAATGTAGATATCTGTAAAGACGTACAGTATATTTGAAATATATTTTGTAATAACGCATGTCAAAAATATTGTTTTATATATATTTATATGCAGGGGCGGAATAACAACGTGTGTGTGTGTGGGTGTGTGTGTGTGTGTGTGGGGAGTGTGTGTGATGCGGGGTCCGGGGAGGCTGGGTGAGTGAAAATGCGGGGTCCGGGGAGGCCGGGTAGAGTGAAAATGCAGGGGTCCGGGGAGGCTGGGTAGAGTGAAAATGCGGGTAGGGAGGCTGGGTAGAGGTGAAAATGCGGGGTCCGGGGAGGCTGGGTAGAGGGAAAATGCGGGGTCCGGGGAGGCCGGGTAGAGTGAAAATGCGGGGTCCGGGGTTTAGTAACACTTTAAGCATACTGGACGTCTCCTTCAATATTTCTGGCTGCTGCATTTTACAAATGTTTTCCAGGCACGGTATTGACCAGGGGCGGACTGACCATTTGGAAACTCGGGCACTGCCGAGGGCCCAGGGTCAGTAGGGGGCCCCATGAGATTTTAGGCTTTTTTGAGTTTGGGCAAGGACACAGGGGCCCCATGATCCTGTATTGCCCGGGGGCCCCATGAGTTGTCAGTCTGCCCCGGTATTGACTTATATTTTTCATTTCTTCCAGCCTCCCTGCTGAAGCTATGGTATCGGGAGTTGGAGGAGCCCCTTATCCCCCAGCAGTTCTACAAACAATGCATCACCAACTATGAGAACCCTGATGCGGCGGTGTCTGTCGTTAAACAGCTTCCAGAACTGAACCGGCTGGTGTTGTGTTATCTCATCCACTTCCTCCAGGTGTGTAGTCCTCCAGTGCAGTAGAATGGGTTATTTTCATATGTGTTGAACTGCATATCCCTGAAAGTGTTCTTATACAGAAATGATGTGTTACTGACCATTGCCTCGTGCACACAGAACTTTTTTTTTTTTAAACTCTCCTAGAAGCCAACAGCGTTTTTGGAGGAAAAAAACACCTGATGCTTTTAAAAGTTTACAAGCGTTTAGGCGCATTTTCCACACATCAAGCGCTTGGGCACTAATTCATTTCATTGGCCATAATAAATAATTTATTATGGCCATTAAAATAATTGAACACTCAAGCACTAAACACGCCAAAATGCCGCTGCTCCAGGACGCTGATACCCCTAGCAGTGACATTAAAAACGCCCAATGTGCATAAGGTCTTAGACTTCGTAGACTAAGGCCCCTTTCAGACAGGGCGGACCCATCAGCAGATCTGCCTGCTCATTGGGGGATCTTTCTGCTGATCACTGCTGAGCAGATGGATGACAGGTCTGTGTGCGCTCTGCTATTGCAGAGCGGACACAGACACAGCACGCTGACTTCTGTGGGCCAGATGGAAATGGATCGCTTGTCCGTTTCCACCTGACTGTCATCCGATCCAATCTGCCAGACAGAGAGGAACGGATCTCCATCCGTCTGTTTTTGGCATACAGCATCAGATTGGATGCTGGCGGGCATCAGCGGACACTTGTCTGCTGACACCCATTGGTCCAAAGAGGTCTATGGATGGTCCAATCGGGTCATCTGAAAAACTGTCAATTTTCCCGGCAGAGCCGATTGGGCCGTCAGTGTGACCATAACTGCCTGAGTGCTTCTCTGCCTTTCAGGAGAATCCTTGTATTTTTAATGTATACACGGCTTCCTCTGATTGGCTGAGGTGGAGAGATGGGCAGTTGACATCACGGTCATTTAATTACTAAAATCTTATATAAGCTTTAGAATGGTAATGTTGTTTTAAATGTGGCTTTTCAGTCTCTATAACAGGGTTTCACAAACAGGGTTCTGTGGAGTCGTAGGGTTCCTTCAGAGGTTGCTAGGGGCTTGTTAAGCAATGAGAAATTTCTGTCTCTTAGATAAGTTCCTACTGACACCATTGATCGTTTTAGTTATCTATAAGGGAGAATTCTTCCCACTGTCCACAAGTGTAAGGAGCATTCTTCCCACTGACCATCACACTAAAGTATCATGAGTTGTAGATATAATACTTTTTAGCAAGGGTTCCCTGAAATTGGAAAATGATTTCAAGGGTTCCTCTACGTTGAAACTGCTGAGAGAAGCTGCTCTATAAATTTGCAGCTTTTATTAAAATAATCCCTGGCAATCCTGTAATGAAAGTCCTTGTTGGCGTACGGGATCGGATCAAATTTCGGCAGGTGTCAGTGGACACCTACCAATCCATAGGGGTCTATGGATGATCCAATCTGGTCCATCTGAAAATCTGTCAGTTTTTCAAGTGGACCTGACCGGACCTTTGGTGTGGAAGGGGCATAAAGCTTATATAAAATCTTATATAAGCTTTAGAATGTTAATGTCATTTTAAATGTGGTTTTCAGTCTCTAAAACAGGGTTTCTCAACCAGGGTTCTGTGGAGCCCTAGGGTTCCTCCAGAGGTTGCTAGGGGTTCATTAAGCAATGAGAAATTTCTGCCTCTTAGATAAGTTTCCACTGACGCCATTGATCTTTTTTAGTTCTCTATAAGGGGGAATTCTTCCCAATGACCACAAGTGTAAGGAGCAGGAGCGGACTGACCATTTGGAAACATGAGATGCCCCTGGTACCTTTTTAATAGGCTTTTTTGAGTTTGGGCAAGGACACAGGGGCCCCATGATCCCCTATTGCCCGGGGACCTCATGAGTTGTCAGTCCGCCCCTGGTAAGGAGCATTCTTCCCACTGACCATCACACTAAAGTATCATGAGTTCTAGATATAATCCATTTTAGCAAGGGTTCCCTGAGATGTGAAAGTTATTTCAAGGGTTCCTCTGTGTTGAAAATGTTGAGAGGCTGCTCTATAAGCTTGAAGCTTTTATTAAAATAATCCTTGGCAATCCTGTAATGAAAGTCCTTGTTTAGGCATTTCCTGCTATAGGGTGACAACTCTCTCCTAATTCTGCTCCTGTATTGTCACCATGTCACATGCGTTCCTGGTGAACACTAAAAGTGTCTATAGGGATGCACGTTGTGCAGGGATGGTCTGCTGCTGTTCCAATCAGAAAGCTGGTCCAGAGCAATGATGTGCAGCTATCACTGGAGAGAGTGCATGCAGACAGTCGACTAAAGCTGGCCATACATGGGTTGAATTTTCTTTCAAAAATATTTTCCAAGAATTGTCAGTGGGCCACAGCAATGGCCGATTTTCGAGCAATCATCGAATTTGAGTGATCGGGTACATTGGAAATTTTTTGAAAAACTAACAAATTTCTAATCAATGATTAGGAGATTAGGAGAATTGTGCGAGAAATATAATTGAAAAAGAGCTGTGACCTGGAAAGAAAAGAAAATTCTTGGCCATGGAAATTCTGTTCAGTAGCAACACAAGATGAAATGAAAGGCTGGGTTGGCTGAATTTCGAAATCAATGGAGGTATTATAAAAAACACATGAAATTTCCAATTTTTAAAAAAATTTGGAATTTGACCCATGTATGGTCTGCATAAAACAGGCTGCAGGAGAACAGCAGCAGTGAGATGCAAAAAAAAAATTAATTAAAAAAAAAAAAAAAAGGAAACACTATTTTATATAGAAAATAAATTCAGTTTAATGCACAGCGCTTTTGAAAATGTAAAGGAAATTATTCCAAATATTTAAAAATGTCAGCAGTTAAAAGTACATGTTCTTACTGGTTCACGGATTCCAGCATCTTCCCGCAGCAGATTTTTCTCACCGCTGCAAGTCCACGGTGCCACCATATGGATTTAGGAGCTGGTTGAGATTTCCAGATGAATCACTGCTGGCTCCCCGCTGCACATGATCATGCAGGGCAGGGAAAGTGGTCCTACAGCCTCTTGGGGTATGTGACCTCTTCCAAGAGGCTGCGGGAGGAGAGGGGCAGGGAGGTTACTAACTATATCATCCTTACCTGGGAGAGGATGGAACAAGTGGGAGGGGGGAACTGACAAAAAAGGTATTCACTCCCTCCAAAAAGCCTGCAATGTGTGTTCACTTTTTTGAATGACATTGCACTTTAATGTTCTGCATTTAGGGTTTATATCTACATTTAACTCTCAATTATACCTTCTTGGCTTGGACAGTAAATAATCGTTCTAAATTTTATATATCTTGCTCCCTAATGTGTATTCGGGCTTTTGAAGGATCCTTAGGGAAACGTTCACAGGGGGAGCAATTTATATTTTGAACGCTGAGCCCAGAATTCCATAGATACAGCTACATTCAGCTGACTTGCATAAAAGTAGCCTTCCTTGCTTTTTTTTTTTAGCTTTTTTTTTTTAACTTTTTTTTTTAACTTTTTTTTTTAACTTTTTTTTTTTAAACTTTTTTTTTTTTTTTTTTTTAACTTGTATAACTTAGATTTAAAACTGATTTTTAAGGGTGGAATTGCACTTTAATAGAGCTTGTTTTAAGGCACAAGCAGGAAAGACAGAGAGTGACACATGTAGACGGTTTACAAGGCTCCATAAAAAGGGTTTTCTTTCTCTTTTAATTGCTACATCCAAACAGGATCTAGAAGTGAAAGGGATATGTGTGTAAAAGAGGAACAGATTAGCTTTTTATTGGTGCAGCTTTTGGTGCTGGAAAATGTCCTAGTCTCTATCACATGGGGGTTGTTGCAGTAAGGTCGGGGGAAAAAAAAAAAACTGAGGGTCACTATCTAGACTTGTATACGGTGTCCCTAGTTTAACAAGCATGCATGTACACACCAGTACACCCACATTAGGCTAGTTCATTGGCCATTTGTGCATTGTTTTTTATGATTGCTGAGGGTTTTTACATGAGCTTTCAAAGTCTATTTAATGACAGATGTTTTTGCTTAGGTGTTACACCAACGCCAATAATTTTTATACCTTTACATCCTGCCAAAAATAATGCTTACACACCACTTGTCCTGGAAGTCAGGGGATGACATGTCTCTTTATGTCAAATGACCAGTGTTGTCCATTTAAATGGTACAAGTAGAAAGCCCTCAGGAGCAGTGCCAGATTGCCAAATAGGCCGAGTATGCACCGGCCCATGGGCCCCATACTGTCTGACGGCCCTGTGACAATGGATGAAAATTTGATTTAAAAAATATACACACACACACTCTTAAATTTGTTCACAAAAGATAGAAAAAATTAATTGACTCCTATAAATGAAAACTGTACATTACATTAACACAATATTCTCTCTATAGAATAATGTACCCAATAACTTAAAGTACATAAAGCATAGACATCAGATTCACATTACAGTTTGTCTCTGAACAGCTCATCATCTTTCAGCTGTCAGTTTGTTAGATAATTTTGGTGCATTCTACATCCGTGTAATGTACAGTAGTGATGGCATCACCATCTAGAGGCCGACATGCACACTACCTAATTCAATGTTATCCCACTAGAGCACGCACACCAGAAACCTGCGATGGGGGCCTCAAGGTTTCAGCTGCCTAGGGGCCACAACAGTTTAATCCAGCACTGCTCAAGAGGCACCACTAGGTGTCTGCTTTTACCTAAATATATTTTAAAAATATTCTTCCCAAAGAATATATATATATATATATTGCCATAATAAATATAAAATATATATATTATATTGCCATAATTAATATATATATATATATATATATATATATATATATATATATATATATATATATATAAAATATCATCTATATGTATCATGTTGCAATGCATGTTTATTACAAAATATATGAAATATAAATAAATATATTCCGATTTTTTTTTTTGCATTCTAAAAATGTAGATTTGTATTTTTGAAGACACACAGTATATTTGAAATGTATTTTTAAAAATATTTTTCATATATTTTGTAATAACGCATTTCAACATGCAGTATGTAAAATATATTGTGTGTGTGTGTGTGTGTATATATACAGTCAGGTCCATAAATATTGGGACATCGACACAATTCTAACATTTTTGGCTCTATACACCACCACAATGGATTTGAAATGAAAAGAACAAGATGTGCTTTAACTGCAGACTGTCAGCTTTAATTTGAGGATATTTACATCCAAATCAGGTGAACGATGTAGGAATTTCAACAGTTTGCATATGTGCCTCCCACTTGTTAAGGGACCAAAAGTAATGGGACAATTGGCTTCTCAGCTGTTCCATGGCCAGGTGTGTGTTATTCCCTCATTATCCCAATTACAATGAGCAGAAAAAAGGTCCAGAGTTCATTTCAAGTGTGCTATTTGCATTTGGAATCTGTTGCTGTCAACTCTAAAGATGAGATCCAAAGAGCTGTCATTATCAGTGAAGCAAGCCATCATTAGGCTGAAAAAACAAAACAAACCCATCAGAGAGATAGCAAAAACATTAAGCATGGCCAAAACAACTGTTTGGAACATTCTTAAAAAGAAGGAACGCACCGGTGAGCTCAGCAACACCAAAAGACCCGGAAGACCACGGAAACAACTGTGGTGGATGACCGAAGAATTCTTTCCATGGTGAAGAAAACACCCTTCACAACAGTTGGCCAGATCAAGAACACTCTCCAGGAGGTAGGTGTATGTGTGTCAAAGTCAACAATCAAGAGAGGACTTCACCAGAGTGAATACAGAGGGTTCACCACAAGATGGAAACCATTGGTGAGCCTCAAAAACAGGAAGGCCAGATTAGAGTTTGCCAAACGACATCTAAAAAAGCTTTCACCGTTCTGGAACAACATCCTATGGACAGATGAGACCAAGATCAACTTGTACCAGAGTGATGGGAAGAGAAGAGTATGGAGAAGGAAAGGAACTGCTCATGATCCTAAGCATACCAGCTCATCAGTGAAGCATGGTGGTGGTAATGTCATGGCGTGGGCATGTATGGCTGCCAATGGAACTGGTTCTCTTGTATTTATTGATGATGTGACTGCTGACAAAAGCAGCAGGATGAATTCTGAAGTGTTTCGGGCAATATTATCTGTTCATATTCAGCCAAATGCTTCAGAACTCATTGGACGCCGCTTCACAGTGCAGATGGACAATGACCCAAAGCATACTGCAAAAGCAACCAAAGAGTTTTTTTAAGGGAAAGAAGTGGAATGTTATGCAATGGCCAAGTCAGTCACCTGACCTGAATCCGATTGAGCATGCATTTCACTTGCTGAAGACAAAACTGAAGGGAAAATGCCCCAAGAACAAGCAGGAACTGAAGACAGTTGCAGTAGAGGCCTGGCAGAGCATCACCAGGGATGAAACCCAGCGTCTGGTGATGTCTATGCGTTCCAGACTTCAGGCTGTAAATGACTGCAAAGGATTTGCAACCAAGTATTAAAAAGTGAAAGTTTGATTTATGATTATTATTCTGTCCCATTACTTTTGGTTCCTTAACAAGTGGGAGGCACATATGCAAACTGTTGTAATTCCTACACCGTTCACCTGATTTAGATGTAAATACCCTCAAATTAAAGCTGACAGTCTGCAGTTAAAGCACATCTTGTTAGTTTCATTTCAAATCCATTGTGGTGGTGTATAGAGCCAAAAATGTTAGAATTGTGTCCATGTCCCAATATTTATGGACCTGACTGTATATATTTATTGAATATGGCCAAAATTGTAGTATTTCAAATATATGGCAATATATTTGGAAAGAATATTTTCAACATAAATTTCAGTTATATATTTTTCTTCCATGTGGGTAGGCTTAGAAACCAGGAAGTAACTAGAGAAATGTAAAAAAAAGTTTAAAACAAGTAAATATGATATACTTTTCTATCTATTTACTAATGCTAGTAGCATAAGGATTTAGCATAGTTAATGCTGATTGAGAGAGTGAAGTTTGGCTTCAATAGCACCTTAAAGCAGAGCTCCACCCAAAAGGGGAAGTTCCGCTTTAATGCTTTGTCCCCCGCTCCCCATTAAGGATTGGCACCTTTTGGGGAGTGGGTGGGGAGCAGGTACTCGAATTTGAAAGGTACCTGCTCCTACGTCCACTGCGATCACATAGTTGTCCTTCCTTCCCGTAGTCTTTTGGGACACGTGACAGGTCCCAGAAGACTATGGGGCCATTCACAAAGCGCAGCACTTCTCGCGCATGCGCAGTGGGCACCTGGCTGTGAAGTCGCAAGCTGTCACAGCCGGGTGTCCGCACTAAAGATGCCGGTGCCAGGGAGAGAAGATGGCCGGTGAAACCAGTGGTGGTGAGGACACTGCTGGACCGAGGGACAGGTGAGTGTCTGTATTTTAAAAGTCAGCAGCTACAGTTTTTTTTTTTTTTTTTTTTCAGCTGGGACTCCGCTTTAAATATTTGGCTATCATTGCTTTAACAAAATCACCCATACACTTGAAACATAGCATGATGTATTTTTCTTAATCTCATCCACGCAGATCTTCTCTCAGCCATCAAATGTGGGTACCACCAAGATGGACGTGAACAACCTAGCTATGGTCATGGCACCCAACTGTCTGCGCTGCCAATCAGATGACCCCAGGATCATCTTCGAGAACACCAGAAAAGAGATGTCATTCATCAGAATGCTGATTGTCCACCTGGACACAAACTTCGTCAGGGGTTTACTCTGAGAATAAAAGACGGTGCCGTCTTGTCCTTTGGTCTTGGCTACTTGTGTATATATTTGTGCATTATTTCTTCACCCTTGAGAGCTGCAAGGTGCGGTCCCTCCAGGGGTTAAAAGATGTCCCAGTGAGGACACATGTACAGAATCTTCTCAGGATACTTCTAGCACTTTCTGAATGTAGTTTAGCTGTGCTGTCATCATGGCTGTAGATGCCAAAGGCTCTGTTATAACCACCAGCCTTCTATCTTCATCAGAGGTGCTCTGTGAAACTGGTTTAGTTGTATCTAATCTTCGTTACTGTGAATTAACATAATACCATCTTCTTTGCCTGCCTTTATCAAGACTTAATTCTTAACCCAGTGCCATCTTATTTAGGATGTGTGAAAAAAAGTTAACTAAAGCTTTTATTTATATGTTGTACCTTCTGGAGGGACCACACCTCTTAATATATATGTATTTTTATCCCTGGTGTTTACTTTTAAGCTTTAATTTTAATGCCCCCATTGTGAACCATTTTCTTTGCTCTGTGGGCCTTAGTATCCAATAACTTATTCCGTGCTGCGTCACACATGGCTAATGTAAACTTTACAAAGTTGTATTATTGTGGATCCTTCTCTGATCACTGAAATATATTGATCTTTGTTAGATTTCAGCAGTAGCCTTAAACTTCACTCTGAGAAAGTGGACCCCCTATATTGAACCCCCCCCCCCACATGATAAAACACCCTTCTTATATGACTGCAAAGAAAGATTGGTGCACTGATGCCCCTATGTTTTTAGAGGGCTAAAAAACAGATTCCTTAATAAGAGTTTCCTTCTAGACAGGAAATGATCCCCCCGCTTGTGCCTTCTCTGGAGCCTGGTTTTGTCTAGGGCTGTGCCATATTGCGTCTATGCCAATCCTGGCTGTGACAGGCCAGGCTACTTGACCAATGGCCTAAATGATTGATTGAGAGATAAATATATATATATATATATATATATATATATATATATATATATATATATATATATATATATATATATATATATATATATATATATATATAAAATATATAATTTCTATCAATCTCCTATCTGGATGGGAATGCACCATTGTTGATGACAGTAGCTTTGGGGTATAGGGTGTGTAAATAGGTAAAATTGGACATTTTTCAGTTCCTTCCAGGTTACTATACAGAATAGTCCTAAAGTTCCACATTTCTGTTAAAGCGGAACTAAACCCTCACATCCTTTTCTACCAAGGAAGCTGCCATTTGTAGCTTCTGTTTAATCACATGTGCTGTATCATGGCAATTGCAGATCATTTATGACTTCAGCTATTTGATGGTTTGTCAGTTTGGTTGAGAGCACAAAGGAATGTGACAGTTAAGGAGTATACACGGGCCAAAAATCAGCCAAAACAGTTAGTTTGGCAGGAACCAGCTGACTTTCATCCCGTGTGTACAGCTCCCTATCTAATAAAAGCTGGTTGTGAGAAAACCAGATGAAAAACCAGTGATCTGTAATTTATTTTTTTTTTAATGAAAAAAAAAAACTTAGTGTACCCTGTATTCGCATTCCCAGCATGCTGGCAATGTAACTGTTTATTGAAATTGTTAAATCAGTGGGTTTAGTTCTGCTTTAAAGTGGATAATCCATTTGTTGTTTTTATCATCCGTAGGAAGCGACTATGTTTTGAGAACTTTATTTGCATTACTCCAACCTTTTTAGATGATTTATAGGAGCCTCTACATTACGATGTCCACAATTAAAGTGTTTACATTTTTAAAAACTCCACTAAGATCTATTAAACACACCATTCTCAAGTGTAGATATGTACAGTATTGGGATTATTCAGTGGCAGGATGTTGCAGTTTACTGGCTACCTGTTTGGATCATTGTTTTCCTCCCTAACAGTACAAAGCTCCTTCCTGTTTCCCGTTATAAAACCTAGCTTTGTCAGAATGATCCCTTTCTGTTTCAAAACAACCAGAGGTCCTCACCACCACAATGGCCCTGTATTTTACAAAGGCCACGTGACTCAACTGGCAAATCTCCATTAGACATACTGATCAGACTAAAGTCTGTTGTGGCTGCTGGGGCCCAAGTGGTGGGGCCACTGTAGCTGAGTAATTTTCCTTTACATGGGAAAAGTCTCATTTGTCATGTTTCAGAACTAGTCCCTGTCCATAATGTCTCCTTCAACCTACCAGATTCTTTTTTTTTTTTTTTTTTTTCCGGTCTTGCAATCATATAACAGCTGATGGGCAACACTATTTGTGTGAGAAACTTTTACAAATGGAGGTCTTATTTATAATCTTTGCATCTATAGGAGTATCCCATGGTCACCCAGCAGGTTAATACCATTTATTGACATGCCCAGTAAACTAAAGTGCAGTACTGCGGGTTACTGAATTATGCAGATCCTTGCTGCCTTCAGCTTCAGTTTTGTTTAGTAATCCCAATTAACAGAGAGTCTATGCAGACAATGTTTACTGTTTGTTAAAAATATTGTATATAAAATATATATTTATTGATCTGTATATACACTAAATATGCAAAAGACTGCGTATTGCTCTCACAAGACCCTGTGATCTCATTCATCATGTGGTGACTGGGGCATAGTGGTGGTGTAAGCCATGATGATGTAAGCAGGCCAAGGATTCCAGGGCTTTAGATGACTTCTGCCAAACGTACTCTGCTTTACAATGGTTAAAGCTGCATGCTGATGGCTGTCATTTAACAGCAGCAAGCTCTTGGTATTCAACTTTAAAAGACTCCAATTGGCTCTTTCAGAGCAAAGTAAAAGTCTCTTTAAACCCTACCCCTGGACCACTTGTACACTCCTTTCTAGGTTTCTCTCACAGCTCTGTACCTCCTACTGTTTGTTCATTACCTATTGTAAACTCCATGTCCAATGATGATGATGGAGCTTACATGGGGTTGATGTCCTCTTCATGGCTCTGAGTCATGATAGGTGGCGGATCATGGGGAAGATCGTTATAAGTTAGTCAGGGGTGGGCTTTAAGGAAAAAAATGCAGCTGCATTGCCCTGAATGAGCAAAGTGACAAAATATTTCAGTTTAATACTGGGGTGTTGAGTTGATCTTGGTTCAAGATGGAGATTGTACCCTTAAGGTATAAATTCCAGGTATGAATGACTACTGGTGGGTGTAATCACCCAGCCGCCTTGTATGTCCTAAAGGATGAACAAAATGGGAGTCTTGTTTCTCCTGCTTCATTCTCTGTAGTGTAAACATATGAAAAGTTCCTTTTGTGATAATGAAATCCTTGGTAATGGCTGTAGAAGTTGGGCAGGGCTTGGGGTCCCCAACAGGTTACAATAAGCCCCTTTATAATAGCCTGATCAGTAGCCTCCAAAATGATAGTCCAGAGATTGTGTTTCCAGAGTTCCTAGGAAATATTGCAAAGCAGCATATGCATCTACACAAATTTGACCAGTCATCCAACCAAAACCCTAAATTTGGTTGACTAAACCCTTTATTAAGAGTAAAGAGCAGAGATTGAGTATTAAAGGCATATGCACAAATAAACCATCCCAAGTGTAGGTGTCATAAAAGGTTTGGTACTTTTCAAAAAAAAACAACAAAGACAAATATATGGGAGATGAGTACTTGAAAATGCAAGCCCCAGGGCTTTATTGATCCTGGCTCATGACTTAGTGAGCCTTTGACCCAGAATAAGTCTGCAGGATGAAGAGACTTTACTGATGTAAGCTTTTTCTTACTGTTTCACTTGGCAGTTGGATTCCACTCCGATCCTGAGGAATCATTCTCTGCAGTCTGCTGTTAAACGGACACTTCCAGGTGATTTGATTTCTGGTGTTTCTCATACTGATGCCTGCTGTCAACCTATTCTGTCACTACTGATCCCTGTAGTGACATGGAAGTTGGCAGGAGGAACCACTGAGCGCTATGGGAGATCCGGGAGATCAACACTCCCAGAAGTGTCAGTCCCAACAGACTTTGGGGAATGGTTCCACAGCTAAATCGTGTCATGGGCAGCAGGAGAGATAAGTATTTAATTTTTTTTCTTTCAGTTAACAACTATACGTTAGAATTGATAATGCAACCCTTTGGCCAATAGGCAGAGATCAAGAAAACTGGGTCACCAGCATGCTTTTTTAAAAAACTGAATAATTGAAACTCCCATTGTCCTACCTCCATAGGTTCACTTCAGTGCCACAAAGTGCTAACTGAACATTTTTTTTTTATAAAACAAGAGGACTTCATCACCCTTAGACCAACCTTTGCCCACTGCCTGCTTGTCGAGGAAGTAGAAGTATCGGCATATCCCCTGTGTGCCTGGACTTCTAGTACCCCAACCCTTAACCAGTACCTACCTGTATACCCAGAGCAGGGCTGTGCAAGAGCAGTCAAATTGTTTGAATTGTCTACAGTGCACTAGAAAATGACAAAACTAACTTTTTTGGCCTTAAAGTACCCTGAAATTTTGTATGGTGAGGCTGTGCAGAGTAAATTTTTGTTTTTGTTGAACATGAAAGAGAAAATACAGTGTCATTGCTGTGATTACAAAGTTTCACTGTTGTAATTTTTTTTTTTTTTTTTTAATCATAGCGTTTTGCTGTTTTTGTGAGGAATGCTCTTTATGAATGCTTTTATGTCTATGGAAGCCTAAATGGTTTTTGGGGAAGCCCACAGATTTTTTTTTTTTTTTTTTTCCTTTTACTCAACTGAAGTTGAAAACCAGTTTAATGAAAGGATTATTCAAATTTTAATTTAGTGAATCATAATCTACATTATGTTACATGTTATGTTTGTATGTAAGGGAGATAACATTTTTGGAAGGGGATACAAACCTTAAAGTTGAATTTCAGGCAAGCAGTTGAATGCATAGATGTACATACAGTATATAAAAGAGTGGTTTTACCTGCTAAAGGATTTGTAATTCTGTCCATCCAGGCCTGAGATTTACACAGCTAGGTCTGGCAGGGCAGGAGACCTGATTTTTTTTTTTTTTTTTTTTTTTTTTTTTGCTGCA